AATTTAAATTAGTACTATTTATTACTACTACTACGCAGATACCTTACGTTACTAATAACTATATCTTATTATTTACTTCTCTCTAGTTGTTATCGTCGTGTGTGTGTGTGTGTGTGTGTGTGTGTGTGTGTGTGTGTGTGTGTGTGTGTGTATAAATATATATATACTTCTTTAGTAACTAAAAGTTAACCATATCTATTTAATTCTTTCCATGCAGTTACCCTTTTCTGTGCATGTTAAGGTTTTACAGAGTTACATTCAAAATTTAATTAAACTACTGTATTATCATGGTATACGAATAAATTTGGCACCAAAATGTAATTAATAAATCAAATTTCAATATTACCATATTTTTTGGCATATAAGAAATACAATGGGAAAATGTGCAGAAATTTGAAGACAAAATCATACAAAAAATAGAGAATATGAAATTCAAATATAACAAGTTAAAATGTGAAAAACAAACAAAAGACAGAATCAAACTATGCATGGAGCATCTTTCAACTTGCACCAGTCTCGGACACATTTTTTGCTGACACCATACTTACAGTGAGCGGCTGTATTCCCACCATTTTTCTCTGCAAATTTCATGATTTCCAGCTTGAATGCTGCTGTGTAGGATTTATGCAACTTAAAGGAGACATTGTGATATAAAGTAGTTTTTTTTTCTTTTTAGAATTTATACTCATAATGAAAATTGAAAAGGGTCAAGAGGGTGTGAAAAAATTATTGTATATATTTTATGAAACATTAAGGAATTTTACTGACTAATCCTTAGATGAGTCTACGTGATGTACAAGTTAAGGCTCAGAGAAACCATGAAAAAAGTATCTTATATGCCAAAAAGTATGATATATACAAGTTAAGTTCTTAATTTTATTATGAACATTTTTTTAAATCCTCAATCTCCCCTAGTATGAGAATTGTGACATTTGCTCTCTAGGTCTTCACTATAATACAGCTATTACTCAGGCAAAACATCGTTTTTATAGCCTTCAATCTTATTTTGTTACACAGCCATAAACTAGATAATCAGACCCCTCTTGCCATGCCCACCTGTCACAACCTCTCTCTCACAAATTGCCAATAGTTTTCTGATGTTTAATACTATATTTATAACAAACACAAAGTCAAAGTTCTAACCTATCAAATGACATATTACATTACACTGTTTTCTGTCTAGAAACTGTATATTTTATTTCCAGTTTTAACTTTGCTCTAATGGGAAACACACTGGCAAGCTTTGCTGAATATTTTAGGGCTCTTATCATAGTTAGAATAATAACATGCAAAAAGCAGATAATTGTTCTGGCTTTCTATGTTCTTTGGTGCATTATTTAATTAAATAAAAATTATTTAGTGCACTATTAATTTAGATTATTATTATTTTTTTACGGTAGTCACAAGGTTGATCAATTTGACCAACCTCGTACAGAATTAAGAGCAGAGAAAATGACAGTTTTACTGAACAAAAAATTTGAAATTTATTTAGGAGGTTTTAGAGATTATGCAAATAAAATTTGACAATTTTCCTATGAAGAAAAATATTTTTAATCTTAACATGAAAATCACTTTTGTACTTGAAGCAGTCAACATTAACTCCATATGTTCATTGTGAAATTTTTAGTTAAAATACTTCATTAAAAATGCTGATTTTTTGTCTACAAAAGACTTATAATGTTTACTGAAAACTTTTAAAATGCTATGACATTACACAAATATTAGAAGTTAAAGTATAGAAACTCTAAAGGTCAATTTGGTGTCATGAACTTGGCTAAATTTACCGAGCCCATAGTGAGAGATTAAAAAATACTTACAACATTTCAAATGTGAGGGAACATGAGCCACAGCAATAAAGCTTAGTGAAAAGTTACCAAATGAGATATTGCTCTTGACTGTGATGTTTATAAATCTGAATACAGAGTTGAGTAATTACCTTTGGCAAAGTGCCTCTAACAGTAGCAGGTTTATTCATCACAGAGGAGACACTTGTGGAAGATTTCCTATATCATAAAATAAAAACACATCACAATAACTACATAAAAACAACGAATATTTATAAAACCTGTAGAACTCTTCCCTACAGTACAAAAAAGTATAGTAATAAAAATCATTCAACCAAATATAATCTACTTACAGAAATATTACATTTAGTGAATTAACAATTAATGAATTCACAATGATTTTTACCCTTGAGCCTTTTGTTGTTGTATAAAGTTTTTCTTCTGTTCTTCTAGCTTTCTTTTGATGAGAGCATTCTGCAGAATCGACTGAGTGTGGACAGCAAGTTCTTGGGGTGAGGGTACACGAGGCAAAACAGGAGCAGGCTAAAGTCCAACAGAAACAAAGTTGTGGTTTTATGCCTTTTTTAAAAACATGATGTATGAAGCAGTACAAGAGCACATTAATGAAATCATTTTAATATATTATGTTACAGAATTGACATATGAAACATGGAATAGTAAAGGAAAAGATTGCAATATGATATACCATATGTAGTTTTACAACCACCATCACTAAAAACAAGGAACACTGGACAGTATAGGAGTAAGGCCCCATCATGGGGTGGGGAATCGGTCTCCTGGCACCAAAGCACGAGGGTCAAGGGTCAAATACGAGGGAGAGGAAAGGAAAAAAAATAAAAGAAAGATGTATACACACGCACACTTTAATAGAATTTTAGCTCTGATAGAAAAAATTATGCCTTTCATCACATCTGATGATAACTGAAAGAAATGTTGTATCATGCATCACAGGGCCCAAAGAATTGATTGATCTGAACTATTTCCTTGTAATGTTTTACAGCTTACTGATATGTATTTCAATGATATGATTCTTATCACAATTGTTTTCACAGATTTTGTGTTATGCCAACTTTAAAGTACAGTGATAGTGGTGGTGATAGTAGTTGCATAGAAATGAGGGGGGGGGGCATAGGTAAAACCAGTAGTATTAGTTTTTGAAAAATAAACTTTGAAAAGAAGCAAAATTATGGCCAAATTTTGGTTTATGGGAGGATATGGGAGAAGGCACAACCAGTTTCAGCTCCATCATGAAAAAATACATTTACAGACATGGGTACAGCAAATTAGTTTAATAAGCATGACTGAAAACATAAAACGTTGCAGAAAGTATATAAAATTATGTAGTTTCAACTACAAGGCTTTTAGGATAAGGTATGGATGGGAATTAATTACAGAATCAAAATAACTGTAGTTATTTCTTTTGTGTAGTTCCATACTGCTCTCTATCTGAATTGACAGAACCCAAAAATAAACAATGATTATAATTTTTCAATCCAACTGAAAAACGTTTTATTGTTAATTACAAATTACAATTATTCCTTCAATGATCTGTCACAATCATTATTGGAAATTCTTAACATTGTTCCAGCTTTAAGTGTCAACTACGCATTTAACATCAGTTCTTATGTGAAGTGCAGTCTCTGAACACTCCAAGTGTAAACTACATTCTGATAACAATTAAGCAATAAATTAAAATTACTGAATAACACATCAATACCATAAAGTAATTTGCTGAAATCACAAAAACCAATGTATAAATGTACCAAGGTCATTTTAACTCGGTATTATTAAATGCAGTAAATACGGGTAATAGATAATATCTATTGCAGCCAAACAGATGTCCATACAGAAGTTTTGTCCAAAATTTGATTAACTCCTAAGTATTGCTACATTAATGATAAGCCTGAATACTGCACTGCCTTTATAGATGAAATGGCTATTTCTCTGGAAAGGAATAAGATCCCTGTCAATTAAAAAAAGTGATCTGAAGAAGAAAGATGCTAAAAACCAAGATACACAAGGACATTATGAATAACTTATGAACAATCATTACAGTTTTCTTGGTACATGAAATAACATTTTAAGGATTCATATTGTAACTTTTCTGCTCATCTTGTAGATAAAATGCATTAGCCAAGTATCATATAACAGTTTTGGTTTGAATACTGAAAACTGATAAATCATAAGATACCTATAGGTCTAAAATTTGTGATAAAAATCAAATTAACTGAAGATATTTTGTCCCCCACATCCCTCTTAATTTGTTCATTGAGGATACTATACTACAGTGACAATCTTAGGATCCTATATCTCTGAAAAAGTGTATGCGCGCGCGCAAGTTTTCATAGCAAAGCCATATTGAACTATCTATTGTGTTCACTAAGTGGAATCGAACCTCTGATTTTAGCATTGTAAATCTGTAGACTTACTGTTGTCCTACTGGGGGACAGAAAAAGTTAACATGCAGAATAAAAATTTAAGTCACATAACTACATTTAAATGATTACTCAATATGAAGAAAAAAAAGTGAAATTATAAAAATAACTAGACTAACAACAACAACAACAAAAAAAAACTTTACTGACCTACCTAGTTACATTCATTAGGCTGGAGCAAGGAAGTAGATACAAAACAATATTTTGACAATGGCTTAGACCAGTATTTCTCAAAGTATGGGGCATGCCCCCTCCCCCTTCAGGGGAGCGTGAGCAATTAGGGTAGTCAATAGTGTAATAATGCAAAATTAAGTTTTAATACATTTTGTATTTATGAAAATAAGTAATTACTACAACACATGTCATTTTAATGTGTATCCATGTGTATCTCATTACTTAACTCACTCATTTAACCCAATTACTACTGGCTACTAACTATCTGCATAACCAACGGAAGTCTTGCTATATTCTGTCCCAACAGTAAAATTAGTGGATGAAATTGTTTGAAACTTCATAAGAACTTTCATAAGTTCACGTAGTTTAAGAAATATAAAGCCTGTTACTTTTGATAAATTTAGTTTTTTTGCATTATGATCTTTAATGTCTTGGAAAATTAAATTAGGAAATGGTATTTGTAAAAAATTTTTTACAATATTTATATTTTTTCCAGATTTGAACTTACATAAAATGCAAATTGTATCTATTTTAAATTTTTTAATAATCACATACTCTCCTTATGATTTCAAATAATATACAAGACCCTAAAATAATATTTTTAAGTAAACCTAAACAATAAAGATTATTTTTTTAATTTTTAACTATGATTTGGTGTTTGTATATGTACATAAAAAACATTTCAATTTTGTTTTTTGTATTTTTATTTCAAGTTTGTTTCATTGCAGCTGTACTTTTGTTTATTGTGCCGAAAAAAAACGTGAGGTTAGCAGCGTGAACTTCGTACATTTGCCGTAAACTATCATGCTTGTTGGGAGTCACTCTCATTCAGTCCAGTGCAGACGCAGTTGAACATAACTGTATATATGATAGTAAGAAAGCTTTTTGGTACTTTAATATCATTTCTTTGAACTTTCAAACAAGTTTATTTCAACATA